GGTCCAAGACGGAGCAAAGAAGGAGGGAAGAAAGGGAGGAATCATAACTATCTGGGCGAAAAACCCAACCATGTGCAATTGTGAATACCGCGTTGTGGGTGCCGCTTGCGGTGGAGCTCCCGATGGGGCCAAGAACCGTGTATTGGGTGTGCCAAAATGGGCGGGGGGACGCATGCGGACCTTGTCACTGGGGGACGTGTGCGGACCTTGCCACTGGGGCCTTCGGTGAAGCTCCCTATTGGGCTACGAACCGTTTGAAGGGTGCACCAACATGGGCGGGGGGATGCATGCGAACCCTGCCACTGGGGCTTCGGCGTAACTCCCGATGGGGCCACGAGCCGTGTATTGGCTGTGCCGAAATGGTGCACATGCGGAGAGCAGAGGCAGGATGCTGACTGACGACGGCGATGATGATGCTGCTGCTGATGATGCTGCTGCTAATGCTGCTGATGCATAATAATATGATGATGATGATGCTGATGCTGATGTTGCTAATGCTAATGCTAGTGATGCTGATGCTGATTCTGATGGTGCTGATGCTGATACTGCTGCTGATGATGACGATGGCGATGGCGATGACGATGATGATGCTGATGATGATGATGAGGATGATGATGTGGATGAAGGCGATGGCGATGATGATAATGATGATGATCATGATGATGATGCTGCTGATGATGATGATGCCGATGATGATGATGCTGATGATGATGCTGCTGACTCTGATGATGATGATGATGATGCTGATAATTCCCTACCTAGGCTCTGCCTAGAAGGGTTCTTATCCTGTTGGCTTAAAGGGGCGGGCAATGAGCCCCACCACGGGCGGTTCCCCCAGGATCCGCCCCGCGGTTCCCCCAGTTGCGCCCCCTGGGTTCACCCAGCTTAGATTAGCTAAGCTTAGCTAAGCTTAGCTTATCTCATCTTAGCTTAGCTTAGCTTTGCCTAGCCTAGCTTGGCTTGGCTTATCTCATCTTAGCATAGCTTACCTTAGCTTAGCTTAGCGCAGCATAGTGCAGCGCAGCATTAGCACAACATAGCATAGCATAGTATAGCCGGGCATATCATATCATACCATAGCACAACATAGCATATCATGTCATATCATAGCATTGCTTAGCATAGCACGGCGCAGCATAGCATAGCATAGCATAGCATAGCACAGCACAGCATAGCATAGCATACCCTAGCCCAGCATAGCAGTGCGCAGCATAGCATAGCATAGCATAGCATAGCATAGCATAGCACATCATCCACTATTGCTGCTGCTAATGTTGCTTTCCTAGAGGCTCCAACTCCTAGGTAGGGTCGCACTGGGATAATGATACTGCTACTGATGACAAGGTTGATGCTGATGCTGCTGCTGCTGGTGATGATGATGATGACGATGCTGATGGCGATCATATTGACGATGACGATGAGGATGCGGAATGGGAGGAGGGAGGATGGGGTCCGGAGGAGTGAGTGAGGAGTGAATGGACGCGGGGCGCTGTCCCGTCAAAACGAGGACCCAACACCACAGGATGGTTGGGAAACGAGGAGTGAGGAAGGAAGGGGAGCTAGAGGACTGGGAGGGCCGAGGTACGGAACGGGCACGATGGAGACGCGAGGAAGGGCGAGGGGAGGGAGACGGGAGGAACGAGTGAGGAAGGAGTGAGGAAGGAGTGCGGAAGAGAGGGCGGAGGGAGGGGGTAGGAAAGAGGAGTCCAGGATGGCCTGCGTACGGGGGAGGATGGAGTGAGAACCATGTGAGCAGGCGCCTCCTGTTTGAGAGTAGCGAGGAGGACGACGACGAAGCGTGAATGGGGTAAGCGCGACACCACTCCTGCCTGGGAAGATACCCGCCACCGTGCCGTATGCACCGAGTGGAATGTCCTCAATTCCCCTCCAGTTTTCTGTATCGAATCTTGCACACACTTCTTCGAAGAGGCCCAGAGCCCATGTTCTTGGCGCTCCCGGGCGCTCTTGGTAACCCCACGTGCCTCTTCACGAGGTCTAAGATCATTAAACACCAACTTGCGTCTAAGTACATGTGTCTCGGCACTGGAGGGTGAACCCCGAACTGGCCCGCGAGCCCTCTTGTGCCAAGATGGCCCTCGAGACCGCGAAGAGGCCCCCACGAGGCTCCCAAGAGGCAACCAAAATACATACAAGAGGAACCACAGGAGACCCCAAGAGGTATCCACGAGGCCCCTGAGCCACAGCCCAGGCACAAGGGGGCGGGATGGAACGACGGCCGCTGGATTTGCCGCCTCCGTGGCCGTCGTAGCCTGCGGCAGGGTGCTGCGTGCAAGGCTTTCAAGTTTTGCTTGGCCTCTCCAAGAGCAGGGAGGGACCTAAACGATGTTTTTCGTTTTGCTCTACCTGTTTTCCTGTGCCTCCCTGCCAAAACGAAACACAAAGCACAGCCGAAGTCCAGCAAAACAGCGTTTAGGTCCAGCCCTGTCCAAGAGGCTCCCTGTTTCCCTTGGGCCCCACCGCCGACCCCGCGCCAAAAACCGATCGCGGGCGGCATTTTGCCGCCCCGAATGCTTGCCAGACGGTCTCCCAAACGGCTGCTCCTAGGTCGGGCATGCCCTCCTGCAGGCGGATTTTGGACGAAACATTGAAAATCCGCCGACCCTGTCGGCGTGTGGAAGAGGCTTTGTTGTTTGCCCCATCTTCCTCGTCGTTCCTTTTGCCCGTTTCCCTGCAGCGTCGTCGCTTCTGTCCCTTCCCTACAGCCTTCTCCTCCACTGCGCCCGTCGCTTTCTCTCCTGCCCTAAAACCTTTTCCTGAAGCGTGTCGATACAAACCGAAACGGAACAACGTCGCCTCTGAGTCAAAGGGAAGCCCCTTCCCTTTCTTCCCTTCCCCGCCAGGGGGCGGGGTCCCGGGGGGGGGTCCGGGGTCAGATACGCCGCCCTCCCGGCGTCGCTTCTGTCCCTTTCCTACAGTCTTCTCATGGATTTCACATACGTTTTTGAAAGATTTTGGCGTTTTTGCCCCTTGCGCTTCCCGACGCGCCAAGACGGCCCAAGAGGCCCCCAAGATCGCCCCGAGACGGTCCAAGAGGCCCCCAAGAGGGTCCCCTAACGGCCGAAGGGCCCCAAGACGGCCCAAGACGCCTCGAAGACGGCCCAAGAAGCCCCCAAGATTGCCCCAAGACAGCCCAGGAGAGCCCCCAATTGCCCAGGAGGCCTCTAAGAGTGCCTCGAGACGGCGCAAGAGGAGCCCTGGACGGCCCAAGACGGCCTCAAGAGAGCCCCAGGCTGTCCCAAGAAAGCCTCTGGCCTCCTCCTCCTCCTCCTCCTCTTCTTCTTCTTCTTCTTCTTCCTCCTCCTCCTCCTCCTCGTCCTCCTCCTCCCCCTCCTCCTCCTCCTCCTCCTCCTCCTCCTCCTCCTCCTCCTCCTCCTCCTCCTCCCCCCTCCTCTGCTCCCCCTCCTCCTGCTCTCCTCTGCCTCCTTCTCCTCCTCTTGCTTCTCCACCACATCCTTCTCCCCCCTCCTCCTCCCTCATCCACTCCTCCACCCTTCCTCCACATACCACTCATCCTCCTCCCCCTGCCCCCCCCCTCGTTTTCATCGTCGTCGTTCTCAGGGTCGGCGGCACCGGCCGTACGGCCTTCGCAATAGTCAAACATGCTCAAACATGGTCAACAATAGTAGAACAATCGTACCCAGTCTTAAAAACAGATGCATACATTTTTGAATTCCTCCTGTAGACGGACACGCCCGACTTAAGGCTACTCTCGCCGTGAAAGAAATTCAAAGTGGCTCCCCTAATGCCTCCAAGACGCCGCAATCCTGCCCCAAAGACGGCCCGAGCGGCCCCCAAGAAGGCTTCAAGAGCCCCGCCCCATGAGGGCCTCGACTCTGAACTTGCTTTCAAGATTGTTCGGGCCGGCCACTTTTTCGGTCTTGAGACCATCCAAGACGGCCAAAGAGGCCCCTCAGATCACCCCAAGACGGCCGCAAAGGTCAAAAGACCCTCAAGCTTGCCCTGAGACTTCCGAACATTCCTCCCAGACATCCCCAATGCGGCCATACAGGGCCCCGGGAGAGAACCCCAAGATGGCCAAGAAAGCTCCTGAAGGCCCAAGCGCGCCTCGAGACGGCCCCAGAGTGACCCCAGGCAGCAACATATTAACATGTCAGAAACTAGCTGCAATATCGCCCCAAGACGATCCCTTGTGTTTCCCCCAGTGGTTTTCCTAATAGCTGGAGGAACATGCGGTCCACAGGTGTTGCCGCACTTTCGCTCGACGGTTTACGATACAGGCAGCGGCGTCGGCGGTGACTCGCCGTGGGCGCCTTCGATAACGGCCCTTCGGCGGTCTTCGAACGCTGAGGTCCCCGCAACACCAATCGAACCCGCCGCTGCCTCATCCTCCAACCCTCCTTTTCCTCCTGGTCTCATCATGCCCATTGTATAAATCGCCACAGTGCCGCGAGGCACTGACTGGAGTGTCCTCATGTCCATCCGAATTCTCTGGGTTGAGGGTTATGAATGAAACCCAGACTCACTTCCACTGAATTCTCGGGCGCGACTGGGCGATCTTGGGACTTGGGTTATGCCTTGTCTCGAGGCCTTAGGAACGTGGTCGGGGGCACATCCTTCCCACGTGCCCTAAGATGGCCTGGATGGGCCGTTATGGGGCCCCTTTACGGGACGCTTTGGGCCGTCTCCCCGAAGAGGGGAACCTCGAAGCGGCTTTTGCGGCCCTGCGCCCACAGATGGCCCCTGGGGGCCGCCTCTATCTGCGCCCCACCAAGCGGCCCCCAAGAGCGCCCCAGAAGCCCCCAAGAGATTACCAGGAGACCCCCAATAGGCCTTCAAGTGGGCCCCGAGAGGCCTCCAAAGAGGCCCCCAGATGTCTCTCGGCAGTTTCACTGGTTGTCCACGACCTAGCCACGGTGGCGGGATGTGCAGAAGGCCACTGGACGATACGTAGCGATGAAACACCGCGATCGGGGGGGGGGGGGCGAGAGAGTTGGGCCCAGAACAGAGAGGGTCACCGCCTCTTTCATGTACTCGATCAACATACCGAACTGCGTTCCCCAATCGCCGACGTGGTTGAGCCGGTGCACCTGGTGGGGGTCGTTGATCGATTGCGCAGGTGCGCTCTGAGATCTACCATGCACTGTGCACATGCGCACGGTGTGCCTCGTGCCTCCTGCTGCTTCTCCTGGTATGTATTGCGGGTGACAAGCGAAATGCGACCTGCGAGTCCTTCTCTTCCTTCTGGACGTTTGCTCCCCATCCTTGAACTCTTCTTCATCCTCCTCCTCCTCCTCCTCCTCCTCCTCCTCTCCCTCCTCCTCCTCCTCCTCCTCCTCCTCCTTCCCTCCTCCTCCTCCTCCTTCTTCTCATCGTCCCCATCCTCCGCCTTTCTTCCCTTTCGCCAGGACGAGGAGGCCAGGAGAAGAGAGGTAAGGGGCAAGGGGAAGAAGAAGGAGAGGGGGCGAGGATGAGGGGTGTAGGAAAAGAGGGGTGTAGGAGGAAAGGGGGCGAGAAGGAGGAGGAGGAGGAGGAGGAGGAGGAGGAGGAGGCGAGGGGGCGAGGAGGAGAAGTAGGCGGCGAGGAGGGAGGGATGAGCGGTCCCTGAACACCCTCTCCCCGCCCACACGCCCACCCCCCCTCCTCCTGTGACCTCACTGGACCTTCCGCTCCCGGCCGAGCCCCGAGGTTCCCGGTTCCATCCAGGGACGTTCCCTGCCCCCGTATCCCCAACCCCTGCGGCGAGCTCCCGACACGACGGCCAACCCGCCCACCCCCGCCCTGGCCCCCACTGAAAAACAAGAGCTTGGGGGTACTCCTTCCCCTCCTCCTCTTCCTCCTCCTCCTCCTCCTTCTCCTCATCTAGCTCACCTCCTCCTCCTCATTCTCGCCTCCTCCTTCCTGACTAGTCCGTCCTCCTTCTCCTTCTCCTCCTCCTCTTCCTCCTCAATTCCTCCTAGTCCCCCCAAGGGAAGGATGCGGGGTCGCGCGGGGGGCCGCCACCCCTCCACTGCGCCAGGCGCAGCGCCGCGGCGCAGGCCATGCTGGCTGCCGCCGCTGGGGCAAGTGGCCTCGCTGGCAGGCCCCTTCGGGCGCTGCCGCTGCTCTTCGGGGTCTTCAACCCTCTGTCGGCGGTCAGGGGCAGGGCCGAGGACATTGCGGAGGAGACTGCAAACTTCGACGTCCTTGGGCTCGTCGGCAGCAGAATCTCCTGGCCATTCTCATGGACTCCAGCACGACGGACGAGGCAGACTGATCATTGATTCGGGCTGGGGCACTGGAGTTTTTACCAACAAATCGACTGGATGCAGGATCTTGTGGGGAAGTCGTGTTAAGATGGACCACCTCAGGAGAGTTTTTCCGACGCCTGCAACACTACAGGGACGTGGGCTGGCAACTCGGTGCAAGAATGGGTTATTGGATATCACGGCGATTACTATGTATTACCCACCGCGTCCACACAACGCCAAGGCGGGAGCACATTACCGCGAGACCTGCAGTAAAATGACACAGTGGTTGGATCAAGTACTGACACATACACCACATTCCTCGCTGCCCATCATCATGCTCGACCTCAACGGTGGCATAGGGCGGACTAAGGATACGTACACGGGCAGCGGGGTCATCTCGGAAGGAAGCGCTACATCCGAATCCCACAAGGAGCAGGTACCAGCGTACGACAACTTATCCTGCGACATCATATGGCGATATTTATATATAGGTACATTTATATATATGTATATGTATAATGACAAGCGGCTCCCTACGTGGTTCGGCAACAATGGGGAGACTTCAAGATTGGATTACATTGCTGGACCTGTGGCCTGGAAGGACGCACTAATCAGCTCTACGCCTCTCTATCGGCTTGGCAGACGCCTCCAGGCCATTCCTGACAGAGTTTTGCGCGATCACGTACCTGTCCACGCGCGTTTATGGTATGAGCGGCTGGCGACGACGGCGGAGGGCGCAGAGGTGGCTCAGCGAAAACGCTGGGACTATGATGCTTTGGTGTACGCGCTGCGACGGGGTGACAGAAAGAGCGACTACCTCTCGGCGCTCAACGCACGCTTGAGGGACACGATGGACACTTGGAAGTCACTGGGATCACAACGCGCGCCCGACGCCATTTCAGATGGTACAGCTTGGACAACAATATTTTCTGGAGCCACCTCATGTCGATGATCGTTATCGTAAGCTATGGCAGGGTCGGCAAGCAATACTCAGACAGCGAAGGGATCTACGCGAAGCTACATGGGCTTCGGACTGTACTAAGCAGCAAGTGGAGACTCATTTACGTGCTATTTCCAAGCAGTGTGGGAGAGTACGGGCTTGGGTCAAAGAGCAGAACAGGGACATGATTTCAAGTGAAATGCAGGACCATTGGAAACACAAGCGTTTTTTCACAAGCGTACCGTGCGACTGTGCAATTGGGTAACTAACGGATCGAAACCAAGCGGAGGGATCTTCGGGCATTATCCTTGGCGAACCCTACGAAGTCGGATTGGATGGAGATGCTCAGAAAGCCAGGACACCAAGCAGGCAAGAGAGCGGTGGAGGCCACGCACCACCCACAAACGGCAGGGCCAGTGCTCGAGAGTGAAGAAATGCCTAACGAAGTACCCCGCATACCGGACCCATGGGAGCACTTCACAGAGGATGGCGAATTACCACAAGTCAACGACGATCGTGTCTTGGGAGCGTACCTGGAGTGCCAGCGTGACCTCAAGCGCTTGAGGTGGTACCCTCGGCGTACACCCAAGCGCAGGGCCTGTCCTGCGCAGTCGCCACCCGCTGAGCTATATTGGATGGCGATCAACCCGCAGCGAGACCAGCTTCGCAAAGGAGTTGGACACGACACCGAAGGCACGGACAACGGCTAGGTCGAAGCCTGCTTGCATTTCGCCTTCTTCAACCTGCGCTACCACCAGCTCACGCCCGCCAACCGGCACATCAGTGAATGCTATCCCGCAAAGAAGAACGAAGAGCACGGGCCGAGGGGACGACGCTTGCTACACATCTTACGAGTCCTTGGAACCAGGTTCTTTGCCACCTGCATCTCGGCTCGACGGTCTGAACCTCTTCCTCTGGAACATCGCGGGTATGCGCGGGGAAGGCGGAGAGAGACTGCCATCCTCGCATCCATGGCGATGGTATACCGTCTGAGGCAGGCGCAACGCAGCTACATCGACAGCTTCAAGGACATGACCACCGCTTTCCCTTCCGTGGGATGGACGTACATGGAGCTGGCGGCTCAATACCTGGTGCGACCACGGGACCTCCGACTGGCGCTACAACGCATACGACGTGCACAGATACACCTTCCAGCAGCAGAGGGTACACTCCACTTTCGTCCGACGGAGGGAGGCCTCATGGGGGGCCTGTTCATGGTACGCTGTTTCCCTCGTGCCTTTGCCTGCGCCGTTGAGCCATGGACAGAACAATGGAGAGAACAAGATGATGCGGATAGAATACTGGTGGTGCAGTGCCCCATTATTTAGTCGCAAGTGGATCTTAGCCTGCACCTGTACGCGGACGACATCAACAAGAATGTACTTCAGCACTCACCGGTATCCGAGGAATCAATATTGACAAGCTCAGGCACAAGCTACAGGACTGTGATGAACTACTGGATGCACAACTACGGCACATTGGATTGGCGCAGAACAAGACGAACACATCAACATCCTCGCGACCCCCGGCTCAGGTAGTGCGGTAGCGAGGCGGCAACTACGACAACGAGAACAACGTGAATTGTGGCCATGGCAGATGGTGGATCAGGCTCGCTACTTGGGACCCACTGTTACCAGCGCGCAAGGTCTCGGCATCGAATTGGCAAAGAGGATACTGGCCCCGAAGGCGGCGTCCTTCTCGATGGGTTCATTCTGGAGTGCTGCACGCATCCCGTGGAGGTGGAGGCGCACAGTGCTGCTGGGGCGGGTGGTGAACGCAGCGCTGTCTGCTGTGGAAGCATTCCTACCGACCCAACGGCAGTGCGACACCCTCGACAATGTCATTGCGTCTCTGGCGAGGATTGCGACGAGGGGTCGAGCATGCACTCGCAACGAAGACGGCGCGACCAGGTCACTGACGACGCACGAGGTTTTGGCGCACTGGCGGATCGCGCGCTGCAGTGCAAAGCTCAGAATGAGACGCTTGAGGTGGCTGCTGCAGGCGGCGGATGACCGCAACAATCATGTGCAGCTCTTTGCCTCCCTCTTCAGCTCGATCTGCGGGCAGAGGCAGAACGCCGTCGCATACGACGACAGCCTCAACGCCTGCGCCAACCCGTGGGCCAAACGAGCGCAGCTCGACCTTGATTTCCTGATTGAGCATTCGGAAGAGGCGCGGGCACTTTTTGAAGAAGCGGGCCCGCACACTGTGGCCTGGTTAAAGAACCCGATCTGGAGGCCAGAATTTGCAAACATCGACGTCAGTATTCTCAGGCCCAGAGAGTTCAAAATCAACGTGGCGCCCCCCCCTCTAGAAGCCCCACGAGCCCCAGAAGGCACTGGAGGAGGAGGAGGACATCCAGGAGGCGGTGGAGGTCTACAAGTGCGGGGTGGAGGTGGATGGAATCAAGTGTGGACGGGTATTTCACAGTAAACGAGCACTACGCACACACGTTCGGCACGTACATCACATCATCAACACGTGTTCGCTGTTCACTCCGACCAACCAATGTATCGTGTGTGAGACGGTGTTCGCGTCGGTGGTCACGGCTCGTCGGCACCTGGTCAGATCGATCCAACGGGGCTACTGCGTTGTTGACATGGCTCGGTCGCTCACCCTCGCGGAGGACCCCAAGTCCCTATAGTGCCCAGGGTGCGCCTACGTCGCAGGCTCTTGGCTCGGGCTCAGACAGCACCTGGCTCGACACCTTCCATATCTTACTGGCCAGAGAGCCCCAGCCACTGTGGGCAAGGCCATCCTCTATGGCAGCGGCAAGCTCAATCTCGGGCAGCGTGCCGCAGTGGATGACCGACGCGGGCATGGACTCGGACGTCGGTTGGGGCCTCACGAAGACCAACAATAGAGGGGTCGACCTCGGCTCCGCAGCAGAGGACGAGCAGCACACGGTGGCGAAACACAAAAAAGGGCGAGGAGGTGCTCGCAGACGCGAAGTCGGCTGCGGGCAAAAGCGCCAGCAAGGCGCAGGTGGTGCAGCAGCTCGTCGCCATTCTGGGCAAGCTCGTGCTCGTGCTGTCGCTCGCGGGAGACCTGCGCTCGTTCATCAGCGTGGTGATCGTCACGGCGCTGGTGCCAGTGAGCTTGCCGTTCATCAAGGCGGCGATTCAGGCGGGCAAGGATTAACACGAGGAGGCGATGCAGCTCAGGGAGGCGCACGAGACGGACGAGAACATCGACACTGCGCGGCTGGGCTCGCCGCATCTTCACGTGTGGAATGATTTCGTGCGGGCACTTCTCGCGAGTACAGAGGAAGGCCAGGCCAGGGACACGCTCTCAAAGTACTGGAAGGATCACGTGACGCAGTACGATCTCAATGACATGGACCTGGACATCAAGTACTTCAGAGTCAGGGCCCCACAGGGGAAAGGGATCCAGAAGCGTTCGAAGAGGATGGAGAACAACGTCAGGCTCCAGTGGGCCCTCACCACAACGCAGATCGCTACGGAGCTCAACCCCATCCTCCGCGCGGAGATCGCCCGCAACTGAGGGGAGATCACGATCGGAGGGGCGCCGAGGGGTGTCTTGGAGAGGGACGCGCGTGCGCTCTTGAACACGCTCGAGCACAGCTCGACGAAGTAGGTAGGAGGCGCATGCAGCTGCTCCTGTCCAGCGAAAGGCTCGGGCAACTAATTGCGCAGGGGGTCGTCAGCAGGGAGGCTGCTTTTTCCTCCCTTACCTCTCCTCTCCTCTCGAGCTTTTCCCCCTCCGACTCCCAGGGCTGAAACATTCCTGTTGCCAAAATTCAGCCGCGCCCAAAAGGGCGCGGGAGGGGTAGATGGAAATCCCGTTACCCTTGAGTGTGCTGGTGTTGGCTCTGCGCCGTGTGACTTTCGGGGTGGGATGCCGTTGGGCGCCCATCTCCTAGTTGACGCGTGAGCGGAACCGTACCCAGCATGGGTAGGTCAGTGTGGGCTGCTACCCCTGCGCCCTGTGCTCGTTCCTCTTGGGTTGCATGGGGGCCAGTGTGTCACCCACCAATGCCAGTCAGATCAACACTTGCAGCCCGAACCTCAGAATGCCACCCAGCGAAGCCAATCGGAGAGTAGACCACCCATTCTCTCGTCGCCAAGGGATGTCTAAGTCGAAGTCTCACTCCCTCCTTCTGCCCTTCCTTCGCATCCCTCCTGCTCCTCCTCCTCCTCCTCCTTCTTCTCCTTATTTCTCCGCCCCCCTCCTCGACTGCGGATCTGCCTTGCTTGACCGCGTAATCCGCCCTCCTCTTCGACCGCCCTCATCCACGCTCCTCCTCGACCGCGTCTCCCCAGCCTCCTCCTCCTCCTCCCTCCTCCTCCTGCTCCTCTTCCTCCTCCTCGCTCGCCCTCTTCCTTACTACTCCGTCCCGTTCCTCCTCCTCCTCCTCCTCCTCCTCCTCCTCCTCCTCCTCCTCCTCCACCTCATCAACCTTGTCGTCGTTCCCCTCGTCCCCCCTTGGACACGTCTTTGGAAGCGCCTGCAAAGACTGGGAACTCCTTCGAGGTCCTTAGCCTCGACCATCTTCTGGCGAGCGGTCTCCTCCTCCTCCTGCCTGTACCTACTCCTCTTCCTCCTCCCTGAACCGTCATCGTTCACGCTTGACCCCCATCCTTCGAAGGCCGACGCCACGCTCGGACCCCCCTTAACAAACGCGGCGGCCCCGGTGGGTCGCGCGGCCCGGCCGCGGACCAGGGGGGGGGGGAACGGCGTGCCGCCTGGTCTTCAAAGCACAAGAGACACCCTGACAATAAACACCCCGACAAGCGAAGCCAGCTAGCGAACGCACCCGAGGAGGAATCGAAGACGGCAGGACCGTTCAGGCAACGCCCAGGGCTGCTTAGTAAGCGCCAGTGCTGGGGGATCGGGGTGGTTGTCATCCCTTGATCGCCACAGCGCGTCCCCGACCCAAGACGTGCTGGCCATCTCGGACACGCCGCCCCCCCCATGCCAGCCTGAACTGGGCTCGACCGAGGCGGCCTCTCCCTACCTCCTCCGCGCGAGGCTGCCCCCTGGAGGGCCCGCTATCGAGCGACACGAAGCGCCGCCTCGTGCCCGCAGAACTCGAGGATCCGGCAGGTGGACTCCCCGATGATGGTGGACCTCCGCGGGCTTCGCGGGCAAAACGACCCCTGGATCGGGAGAACATCGGATCGGGGTACATCGGGGATCTCTGACCGGATAAATCGGATAAATCGGGGATCTTGGATCGGATCGGGATACATCGGGGAGTAAACAGACAAATCGGATCCGGCAATTCTGAGGGATATGTCGGGCGCCGCGGCCTTTTCAAAACGTCCAGAGCGCTCCCGATCGCTCTGGAGCGACTTATCCCGATCCTGGACCCGATTGAGCGGGGGCGGGTCATTGCTGGGCAGCACCCCCGCCCGCGGCGCCGTTGCGGATGACGGGGAGTGCACGTGCATCGTTTAACCGATCCCTATCCCCACTGGCGAGGCCAAGGCCCACTGCCCGACGTACCCACGTAGATGGGGACATGTAAAACTGCCTTCGGGTTTCGCGGGGCCGATCCCCACCTGGGGGGTGGGCTGGAAGGGCTGAGACACCATGGCCCCGTGGGGATGGGGATCGGTTGAACGATGCCGAATGCATGCGCGAATGCGGGCATATGTCAAGCGAATCCCTCCGCAAGCTAGCTCAAGGTATGGCGAACTATACATTGGGACGTCTCTTCTGTGACGAAGGCGCAAGTCAACTGGAGCCACAGTGTCCATGGAACACAACACGGAGCAAAACAACGCATGCAATCCATACAAACACGTACAACAAGAGGTCTAAACTCACATGGACATGCTGCATTCACGCACATCGGGCTGCCGCGCAGTGGCTCGCCATCACCACCAGCGGCGCCAACGGCCACCATTGCGCGCCAGCCCCGTGCCCACTTTCCGACAGCATCGGGCCATCCGCCCTCTTATCTGCCAGCCCCCTTGGGGGCCAACAGGCTGCGAGGATGAAGCTGTCAATTCCCTTCGATTTGATGAAAACCTTTCTAAATCAAATTGTTGGCGGATTGCTGGCAAATAGCTGCACGTAGCGACAACCGACTATCGGCAAATAACGCCCCCCCCCCCCGCGCCAACCGTCCACCAATCACCCCCTATGATGCAATGAACCACAAAACCGAACCGCGAACCACGGAACCGAACCGACCGAGGGAGAACCGACGGAACCGCAACCCGTCAGAAACCCGACGTGAACCGAAACCAAACCGAACCGGAGGCGGTGGAACCGAACCGGGCCCGAACCGGGGCCCGAACCGGAACTGGTCGTGGAGGTGGACCCTTGGGAGCTGCCCGACGCGAGCGCCCACTCTTGCGCTAGGTCCATCCCACCCGCTCCCAGTTCGTCCCCTGCGCCCCCGAGTTCCCTCGTGCTGTTTTGCTGCTTGTCCAGGGCCGAGCTGGGGACGGAAGGGCGGCGGAAAAACCCAAACCGAATTTTGGACGGTTCGAAAATGCGTTTTGGACGTCCAGGTGGTTTTCAGAGCCTCCAAGGCTGCTTTGGGGATGGCAGGGCGGCGGAAAAGTTCAAATCGCATTTTTGGACGGTTCGAACATGTGTTTTAAGCCTCCAAGTGGTTTTCGGAGGCTCCACGGCTGCTCTGGGGACTGAAGGACGGCGGGAAAGCTCGAATCGAATTTTTGGACGGTTCGAAATGCGGTTTGGGCCTCCAAGTGATTTTCGAAGCCCCCAGGGCTGCGCTGGGGACTGAAGGGCGGCGGAAAAGCTCGAATCGAATTTTTGGACGGTTCGAAAATGCGCTTTGGGCCTCCAAATGGTTTTCGAAGCCTCCAAGGCTGCAGGGCGGCGGAAGCCCAAATCGAATTTTTGGACGGTTCGACAAATGCGCTTGGAGCCCCCAGGTGGTTTTCGGAGCCTCCAAGGCTGCTCTGGGGATGGCAGGGCGGCGGACAAGCTCAAATCGCATTTTTGGGCGGTTCGAAAATGCGTTTTGGGCCTCCAAATGGTTTTCGGAGGCTCCACGGCTGCTCTGGGGATGGCAGGGCGGCGGAAAAGCTCAAATCGAATTTTTGGACGTTCGAAAATGCGCTTTGGGCTTCCAGGGGTCCTCGGTGCCTCCAGGGCCGAACTGAGGACGGCGGCCGGGGCCGGGCCCCCACCATCCTGCGCGCGCCCGGTGAGGGCGCGGGCGGCGCCCTTGCCTTCCCAGTTGTCCACTGGGATGACCCATGCCAAGAGTGAGTGGTCCGTATTGTCCCAGACCGTAGCCTAAGCGTTTTCTATCCTGGCGCTGAGGAATCGCCCGCTGTCGCCAGAGCCCCCTGGTCCAGGGGACACGATGCTGTCGACTGGTCCGTCGAAGGCACCATGCGTAACGTCTGTGCCCAGTGGCTCCCCTGGCTCGTCGGGTAGCTGGGCCCAGTGGCTCCCCTGGCCCCAAGGTTTCTCCTGACTCCTGGTTGAACTGAACCACCAAACGCCTCCATATGATCATGTCGACGCACACACGCACACGTCATCTGCAAGAACCGAGAACCGAAATGGAACCGGCTGAAACGGAACCGTCCTCTGAATGGGAACCGCCTCAAACAGCTTCGAAACTGGAGCCGTATTGAACCGAACCAATTTCCCCCGAACCGAAACGAACCGAACGGAACCGGGGACACGCTGCCTTTGCGCCGCTAGTGGCAACTAAGCGCAAACAATCGGCTGGTGAAACCCGAAGCTTCCATAACAACACACTTCAGCTGTACTGTTCCCTGCAACAATTCCAAAGCCCAGTGTATACTTATGGATATTATCTTTGCCAATCCCAGCGTTGTATTTCATGATTCAAGTCTGAGCGAGAGGGGTGGTCAGAGTAAAGAAGCCGCTAACCACGCCAGAAACACATTCTCTGAATTGTCCGGGTACCCTGGGACATGTGTACAGTACAGCATAGTCGCGCCCCCGAGGCGGCAATCCCTAGTCAATTACAGGAGATTCGCGCTTCCGCGGCCACAATGCACGTTGAATTACGACAGGCTCGTGCTCCCGAGGCCACAATCCCTTGTAAATTGCAACGCGCTCGCGTTCCCGAGGCCACACCCCCTCGCAATTATGGCACGTTTGCGTTTCCGAGGTCCGAAATCACAACTCCTCCCTCGTACATTGCTGTGGGTTCGCGCTTCCGAAGCAGCACTTCTTCATACATTAGACAGCATTCATTCGCGCTCCCGATGCCACGATCCATCCCGAGGCCACGATCTTTCATAAACTACGGCGCATTCGCGTTCCCGAAGCCACAACCCCTTGTGAACTACGACGGGTTCGCGCCCCCGAGGCCGCATTCCCCCTTAGGTTACAGTGGATTCCGCGCTACCGTGGCCATAATCCCTTGTAAGTCATCGCGCGTCCGCGTTCTGGAGGCTACGAACCCACCACACGGAAGCTGCCCAAAAACGCCATCCCTCTCCAGAACAGAAAGCGGTCATATCCTGCAACAAGATACTTTGTCCAGAGGGCGCCTTTCGGCCCCTCGTTGCTTCCCAAGAATTCGGCCCCAAACCCGAGGCGGAACATAAACAGGGGTGCGCGCTCCCGAAGCCGCGACACCTTGAAACCACAGTGGATGCGCGCAATCAGCACGCCAGCAGACATCCCAAATCAACTGCCAACCATCAACTCAAGAAAGCCAGTCAGCCGAGCTGCTGGCCAGCCAGCCGACAAGATAGCCAACCAACCTACCGACCAAGTGTGACCACACACAAGCAATCCGAGGGAGGGCCGGCGGCAGAGTGCGAAGTCCTCCAGAGAACCCCAGTCTTGTTTTCAGCGTCGTCGCCTGCGGAGGAGCAGGCGGATGCGTGTGGCACGAGACCTGCCTTGGGAGAGGGAGCGGCGGAAGAGCGGGAGGAGGCGGAGGCATAGGGCCAGGAGGAGAAAAGCGAACAAGACAGGGCGGTAGCTAGAGTAGAAAACGCCGGGGTTGCGTGGCGCACACCCCGCGGCCATGCCCTCGACTCTCCGTCCTTGGCGTAGAAGCTTCCTTCACATCCTCCTCTTCTCCCTCCCCTTCCCCCCTGCGCTTCTTCAATGTCACTGATTGCTTCTCTTTAGCGCAAATTTCTTCTTGACATCGTTTGCCGCCAATTTTGTACATACGTATGGAACACAATATTTCTGACATTTCCGTCAACCCCCCTGGGTGTCGGGGGTGAGTACGGGTTCCATCTGGCAGCCGACGGTTTTGAGTCGCAGGAACATCATGAGGTCCGCGCGGGTTTCTTAGAACGGCGCTGAACCTCCCTCCCTGGCGCGCGGAGCAAGCCCGGGGTGGCGCCTCTGGCGCCGCCAGTGGGGTCCAACACCGATCCAAGAAATCCGCGCGACCTCCGACAACTTTCTGTTCATGATGTTTGTTCCCCATCCGGGGAATTGGGAAAGGATAAGAAAAGATATTCCGACCCGCCTCGCACATCCTACATACCACGGTCGTCAGGCCCAACGAGCGTCGGTGTTCCCTGGGTATCAACCCTCGTGCCTGCGACGAATGACGACTGCATGCCGCCGCCGCCAGGCTCAAAAGTGACCCAGTGCTCCCTGGGTATCCTGGCTGGCGTTCTCGGGTGGCGTTCGCTCGGAGCAAACTGACCATTCTTCGACCCTCCCGGCGAGAGCGGAGCTGGCCTAAGGTGCCCCACGTGCATGTCCTTGGCGATGTTGGGCGAGGAGAAGTCCACCACCACGCGCTTCCGGGAGACATCCTGGCGGCCCCGTCCCTCCCAGGGAGCGCAGGGAAATGCCTCCGCCCCGACGGGCGCGGCCCCCTCCCCTACGTACCCCAAGCTCCCGCCACGACGGCGTGCGCGACCGATCCCAATGCCCATGGCACCGTGACAGCCAACGTGCTACCAAAAGAACGATGAATACCATGGAGGCCCTACCACAAGAAACCTGCCGCAAGACACCCAACCCTGATACCCCGGGACGTCCCTTGATTTTCGGCGTGGGGACGTCACGCTTTCCGCAGCAACAGCATCGAAACCCAGGGAACCCAGGGCACCCTGGAGGCGAGCAGGGGGTCTCTTGGCATGGGCCCCCACTGCAAGGAACGAAGGGGCTCGTCTGGCCGCGGCGAGCCTCGGCCCCGAAGCGCTTCCCCGACTCGAGTCCGGGGAGCGTCCCCCCAAACCAGAGCCCCTCCCGAGTCCGAGCGGGTCCTCATCCCAGCGTCTTGGCTGCATTGTCGCGTCAATCGGGAATCTCTGAGATCCGGCGGCTCTGGAAGTTGTCTCGGGCGCCGACGCCTTCGTTCTGGAACGCCCCGAGAGCTTTCTGGACCGCTCTGGAACGGATTTATCCTCGTCCCAGCTTCGTCCGATCGCGGCTCGTATTCTGGATGCCTCTGAAGACCTCCATGTATCCAGAAGCCAGAGGCCTCCGCGGGCCTTCGAGGGCGGGGACCTCAGATGACCGCTCCGGAGGCCTCGGGAGATCTCTGGAGGCCACCTCCGGGGGGTATATTTGCGCGCGAGGCTGGGAACCATCAAGCTGTGTAGGCGGATGGCGGAACTACGGAGCTGGAACAAAAAGGCTTGGGCAAAATACTAGGCTGGCCTGGATTCGGCCCGATCAGTGTACGGAAACCTACGTAGCACAGTGGAAATATACCAAATCCGACGACTGAGTCGCCCTTCCCTGAGTTGCAGCCCTAGGTTTCTGTGGCAGCGTGGACTCGCTCGATGAAGAACGAACTCCGCCATCGGGGGAACCCGAAGTCTGCCCAACGGAGGACATGAAGTCTTGAGCCACTCTGAGGTCTGGCATCGTGTAAAAAGATATCAGGGTCGGAAAGAACATGAGCGGAACTCCCGACTTCATCACTAATAACAAAAGTTCAAAACACTTAAACACAACACGTTCGGAGGCCCGCGCGAATCCCTTGATCAACGGTGGGCCCCATTCCGTGGCGGAGCGTTCCAGGGGCGGTGCCAGCGGCGCCGCCAGGGGGCCCAACGCAGATCCAATAAATCCGCGAGGAACTCCGAACGATTTTGTTTACGCCGTTGCTTCTTCTTCGAACCATGTCTTCGAGTCGGTCAGAGAACTCGGTGTGCACATACGCCCCAACATTCCAACCTGTAGGATGCCTGGGCGTCGATTTGCACCAATTTCTTGCGACGAGTTCATCGTTTCCTGTGCCGATCAAGCGACGCGGTGTTTATATCGAGCCCCCTTCACACCCCTTGCCCCAAGGACCCCTCCAGAACACGTAACGACGCGCGTCCTCCAGGTTGTCCTCTGGAGTGGGCGTCGCTTCGCGCCGCCTTGCGCCCCTCACCATCACCATCACCATCACTCACCTCCTTCTCCCTCTCCCTTTTCTCCTCTTCTTCATCCCTTCCTCCCCCTCCCCCTCAGCCTTGCCACCCGTCCTCCCCCTTCTCTTCCTCGTCCTAGGGCAACGCTTCCAACCCCCGCTTCCCCCCGTTGATTAATGTCTGTCGCATGATGGATCCGCGGCGCCGGCGCGTGGGTGCCAGATCCACGGATCGGGGAAAACACCCCCCGAATCACAAAGCCAATGCCGCCTGACTTGGCGACGGAACGCGCCGATTCCGCACGGAAGAGGGACAGGTCGCCAATCCGGGCGCCTCCGTCCATGTTTGCGCCTCCTTGCTCATGGCGCAACTGCTGAAGCTGGGCCCTCTGCCCAGAGTTGGGCTCTTGTGGGTAAGATCCTCACATCCTGGCTGCCTCGCTGGTCCCCGCGCGCCGCTGCCTTCCGTGCCTGTCAGGGTCTCAAAGGGGATGAGCTGCGGCTCCTCCCCTGAGAGACCCTTCACAAAGGGAGATGAAGCAGGGCGAGGGAGAGCGGGAGGACGAGATGAGGGGAAGGATCATGACGGGGAGGAGGGAAGGAGGAGAAGGGAGGCGGAGGAAGAGGAGGAGACCAGGGCTTCGCTCCATCGGAGGATACGGTCCGCAGCCTTAGCCTCAAGATGATGACAGGACAGGAAAAGGAAAGCGAGGAAGAAAAGGGCGAGGATAGGGCCCGCTACCAGGACCGACGGAGAACAACGGAGACTCCGCTCCACGAGGAGAAGGTAGCCCAGAAACATTTGACCAGCAAGCTGCACCAGTCCTTGTCTGCGCCTCCTCATGATCCTCCTTTTTCCTCCTGCTCCTTCTCCTCATCATATCCATCCTCCTCCTCCCCTCCCAAGCCGCCCCGTTCCCATCCACCTGTTCCTGCGCACTCGCTCCTCCTTCTCCTCCTTCTCTCCTCCTCCTCGTCCTCCTCATTCAGCCTCCCAATCGTCCCCCCCCCGTCCTGCTTGCTCCCCCCCATCAACGCCACTCTCCCTGGCCGCGCGCGCCCCGCGTCCGCAATCTTGATGTCGCCCTCCAGCGTGCAGGAGAGCTGCTTCGCCAACCACACCTGGTGCCCCCCGGCCCGCTCTCGCCCGCCAGTCCTCCTCCTCCTCCTCCTCCTCCTCCTCCTCATCGGCGGTCCTTGTCGTTATCGTTTTCGTCGTAGGCGTCCTCCTCCTTCAGCCATCCTTCCCTGCCCACCCGTCTTCCCGATGCGTAGACCTAACTCTCTGCTCGACAGCGGCGATTAATGGTCGCGATCTTGATCCCCTTGACACGTCATCGCGCTCCTCCCATCCTTCTCATATATCTATATGTTATTACCCCTCTCGTGCTCGTCTAACCCCCGTCATCCTTTGCCCGCAACTCCTCTTCTGTTTCATATTCCAACGCCTCTTCGTCACCTCATCCGCCTTCGCCTGCTCCACCCCCTGCCTCCTGCCGTCATCCCAATGCTTCCTCAATGTTGTGCCTTCCCAGCCGCCATGACCACCTTCCCCATCGTTGCGTTCGCCGCCGTCGTCGTGCGCCTCTGTCCACAGGCGTGGAGTCGGCTGCAGGTGGAGGCGGAGAAAATCGCCAAGGAGGGTAAAGGAGGGGGAGGAGCGGATGAACTATCCGGAGGAGAAGCGAAGGTGGGGGCGCATCATGGGTGAGGGGGAGGAGGTCATGGATGGTGTGAGGCTGGGTACGGAAGCGGAGGAGGGAGGACGATGGGCGAGGCGAACGAGGTAGCAGAGGGCTGATTCTACAACGCAGGCATGGGCGGCGGGCCGAGCTCTGTTGGATAAAACACCTGCGGGCAAGCGCCCCTGACCCCGACCCAGGCGTGACAAACGAGGAACGGGCGACGCAGCACTTGTACCTCATCGTAACCTCTTGCACAGAGGCGTGACGAGCGCAGAGCACGAGGAAGGACCTGCCTGTCGCTCAACAGCTTTATCAAGCGAGGGCGGCTCGGAGGCCCCGACGGGCTGTGCGCCACCACACGCAGAGTAGGGGTAGGGAAGCAAGGCTGAACGCAGGACACCAATGCGGATTGCGCACCGTCAAGGCGCGAGTATGGAGCCGAAGAGAGCAGCGGCTCGAACCCAGCGACCGATGCAGTCACTAGCAAGCAGGCACGCCAACGGGCACACGCCACTGTCCCAGGCAAAACAGAGGGACAGGAGGCGCACCGATGATATCATCTCGTAACCGCTGGCACAGAACCAGACACGCGCAAAGCGCGCGAACAACCACCCGTGTGTCGCCAGTGACCTTGAACGACTAGGGAGGCTCGAAGGCCCGCTGGGCGTGCGCCAGCCCAGGCCAGGGGAAGGTCACGGAGCAGGGGCGAAAAAGGAAGCCAAGAAGAATCCATGGCTCGAGCTCAGAAACAGAAGCGGCAACTGGCAGCCTGATGGCAGAGGCGTTCGACCGAGACCGCAGCGAAGCCGTGCGCAACGTGCTACCAACTGGTTGAAATGGCGAGGGAGACTCGAGGGCCCGACTGGGCGTGCGCCAACCGAAGCCAAGAGGGGGAACAGGAACGGAGGCAAGAACAGGTGCGGAAAGCCCCGCATCTGCTGCAGCGCAGATAGCTCGAACGCAAGCCAACATTGCGCGCGACTGGGGGCGACCTACGACAAGGAAGGAAGGGAGCAAGGAGGGAGGTAGGAAGAGATGGGATGAGGAGATGAGAAGGGGAGAGGGGTAGAGAAGGGGATGGCGAGGGGTAGAAGGGGGATGGAGGGGATGGCGAGGTGGAGAAGGAGGAGGACGAGGAAAGCGAAGAAAGCTCGACGAGAGCATCAGAGCTCCACTCTGATGCGGGACCGAGCGAGACCGTGGTGCTTGGCCCCTGCGCCCAAGTGCCTGCACCCCGCTGCGGATGTGACGCGGCGGGAAAGATCGGTTGTCCGACTTGGCCCTTGCTGTTCCGGCACATCGTCGCCCTCGCGCAGGTTCGCCTCGCCTGGACGCCCGGAGACCCGAAGATCCGAAGACCCGAAAACCCGAGCACCCGAAGAGCCGAAGAGCCGAAGACCAGAAACCGATGTTGCGGTTTGAGATCATTTTGTTCAAATCCCTCAACCTTTGATGTTTTCACGTTTTCTCCCGCTCGCTGGGCCACCTCCCTGGGCCAGCGTCACAAACCAAACCTTTTCTTCAATTGCTGATGCCTCTACTGCGGGGGGGGAGCCAAGACAGTGATATATCAGGCATGGGGAAGGAAGACTGGTCGATGTGTATGTGACGTATTGCCACAACGTCCCCCATCGATACACTGTCCGCGCAATACGATACACTAGCTAAGCACGTGTACAACTGCCAAACATCTCAAATGGCAATGCGGCGCCAGTGTTCTGGAAGTCCGCCTGGACAAGGCGCCAGCACCGCATCCGCAGCGCGTGGATATCGCGCGAACCTCGGACAACCACATGCCTTTGCGACCGCGTCAACGCCAACCCACTTTTACTTGCATCTTCGGGGGACCTAGTCTGTCCCATGGTTCCACTATCCGCATCGAATCCGCGTCGAATCCATGTCGAACGGTCGAATCCGCGTCGAAACCACGTCGACCCGCGTCGAAAACGATAAAAGTGCTGAAGCAGTTCGGGACAATGCCCCCCCCCGAAGACGCAACGTAGCTTAACCCGACCACCCTACGTCAAGTTCGTGTGGTGACGACCCTGGCGTTGGTTTCTGACACCGCATGGATCGTTCAACCTTGAACGATCGGCGGTATTTCGATCGCCAGATCGTTCAGATTGGCCAATTTAGTGAAACTGATCGCGTTCAACCTAAAACGCCGCATTGGCGTCGCCGTCGCGTCGACACGGCACGAACCTACCCAAAGACCAGAAACGCAGCTTGGAGATCCGAATTATCCAGGATAACTCTTGTCCGGGGTACCTCTGGTCTGTGCCCCAGAAACACGAACCGGGAGCTATCCTTGACCAGGCGTTATCCTTGCCCACCCTCTGCCCCGATGCTTCGGGGCTGTGCAGCAGCGGCTCCGGCCGCGCGCTATCGCCAGCATTGCTCGAGCCCCGACCGGTGGCCCGAGGACCTGAAGGGGTCCAGGGACACACAAATCAATAGACACAAATAACAGGATTCCCCACATTTTCCCATATCTTCTGTGTTTTCGTCTTCCCCCCCACTTCCCATATTTTCCCATATTTTCCCGGGAGTCGACGATTAATTGTGTCTGTGTGTTTCTTTCCCTCCTGAGGACCACTCTCCGCCCAACGCCCGGCGCCCAGCCCTGGGGCCTGCTCCGCGCCGCCAGCGGGGAAGGGCCCCAGGAGACGGAACGCGAGCGGGGCAGAGCATCCAGAATCCAACAGCCCAAAAACAACTCGTGTAGGGGATCGACTACAGAGTTGATTTACCCCAAACTTGATTTTCTCGTCGAGCCCATGAGAAATACGTAGAAAAGGTCAGCCGATCTACGGAACAATGTAGGAACGGATTGTATATTCGACGGGAAAGCAATTTTTGGGTACATCGATCATGTAGTCGATCCCCTATTCGAAAAACGGGACAGGATCACGGCCGTGATGCCAATGCTGTGCTCGCAACCGTCACCGCGAACATCACAGTGGGAATTTGCGGGGTAGGTTCTCTGGCGAGCGACGTCCAACGCAATCTGTGCACGATTTTTCGGGCGACGGCCCGCACAACTCGGTGTGTACGGTTGGCGTCGCAAAGATAGCTTGAAACACCCGTCTCCAAACACTACGCTATCACCCGAAGTGGGGCTTCCACCGTACACGCGCTCTTCCTGTGAGGCGATTCCCCCTGCAAGAGATTCTCCTGTGCAAGCTGCCCCCCCCCCCCCCCCCCGTGCCTGGGCTTCCTCTGTGCTCTCTGCCCATCGCTGCCCCCGAGGTGGGGGACGGCATGCAATCGAGCGGGCTGGCGGCGCCACATCGCACGCTATCTTTGCAGCGCCAGCCGCACAGATGCGGCTCCACCGGGGCATCAGGCGACCCGAGGCGGAGGAGGAGGCGGAGGAGGCGGAGGAGGACGGCTGGCGACGCGGCCACGTCGGTGGGCGGCCGCCTGCCTGCCGTGACGGCCTCCCCGCACGACGGCGCGCGGGCCCCGCGCGAGGCGTCAGACCTCGAGCGGGGCCCGCCGTCGTCGCCCTCCTCGTCCTCGATCCCCCTCGACCCTCCTCGACCCTCCTCCTCCTCGACCCTCCTCGACCCTCCTCCTCCTTGATTTTTCTCGAGCGGGGCATCTGCTCGCGACGTCGCCCGCGCCGAGCCAGCGCGGGCCCAGCCCGAGCACGCGGTGGCACTCCTCACGAGCGGCGAACAGATCATTCGGTCGGAAGAGGTGGGCAGGATCACGAAGCAGGAAGGCGTTGAACGTATTTCGGCTTTCCGCCCGCCCCCTGACGAGGAAGGATCAGGAAAAAACGCCCGATGGTTGGAGTAGGATGGCGCCTAACACGTAGAGGAATCTGGACCTACATTCAACGACCGACGAATATCCGTATCCACGCCCTCGCGGTCAGGACTTCTGGGCGCGATCCCGCAAATGCGCGGTCGCGGAATAACGCGCTCCCTATCCGCGGGGTCGCGGCCCAGGGGCCCAGCCCGCGATGCCTCAGATACAGAGATTCGATGGCAACTCATGGGGGCATCCCATGTCATCTTGTTGGCTCCTGCGAATCGGCGCTAAATCGACGTGTAATCGACGCGCAATCTCATCGATTACCAGACGCCCAATCGGCGCCAGTGCACTGAAAGGACGGGAATAACACGACTCCCATGATTCGCCACCGAACGAATGCGTTTGTCGCCCGCGAACTCCGCCGCCGTGCCCCTGTCATGGGACGCGCAGGGACATAATAATACGATATGACCTCCTTGGAGGCGTGCGTCCGACCCGAACATATAGTATACCCATCTTGTAGTATATCGTTTCCCGAGCGGTGCGGCCAGAAAACGCCCGCCACGACGCATATACGATGATATTTATCGGTGCGCGCGTCGCATCTGGGGGGGCAACGCGCACACAGTATAAGTACTAGAACCACGCGCGCGCTTCGCGCGCGCTTAGGTTCTAGGGCGGCACAGGCAGAGCATTCGTTTGACATAACAGGGGATGAAAGGAGTTGCAAAGAGAATCCCACCAGCTCCCTGTGCGTAGGTGGTTAAGCGCGTTTCCTCCCTCCACCCTTCCCTCTACCCCTTCGGGGAGGGTACCTCTGCCCCTAACCATCTCCCCTGGACCTAAATGGGGTCCCCGCGAGCGGTCAGATCATCGAAGACGGCTCAAGACGGCCCCAAGGGGGCCTCAGAGAACCCAAGATGAGCTCCGAGATTGCTCAAGATGGCTCACAATATGCTCAAAGAGGCCCCGAGACCGCCCCAAGGTGACTCCAAGCGGCCACGGAGCTTCCCAGGGAGGCCCCCCAAGAGGCCCCACAACGACGGGGCCCCATGGCCGCGACGCTGCAGTGTGATGCAAGGGCGCCCTTGAGCCCGAACAGCCATGACATTGACAAAGGTGGGTGCAGAATGCGCGCGGCATCCTTCTTGAATCTCCCTTGGGCTGGTTGCGCATCCCCTTGCTTTTTGCTTTGCAAGAGGACTGTCCTCGGGTCCTCCTGGGGCTGTCTGGGCCGTCATGTGTGTCGCGTGGAGGCCTCGTTTGGGCCTCGTGGGGCCTCTTGGGGCCTCTTGGAAGCCTTCGGGGGGCCTCTTGGGCCCCTCTTGGGGGCCTCTTGGGGCGTCCTGGGGGCTTCTTGGGTTCTCATGGGGGCATCTTCGGGCGGAGAGCTAGATTTTTCGGTTCGGGTTCCCTCTCTTGGGCCCCTCTTGGGGCCTTTTTGGGGCACTCTTGGGCCGTCTTGGGCGGATCCGGGGCGGTCTTGGGGCTCTTTTGGGCCGTCTTGGGGCTCGCTTGGGGGCATCTTGGGCCGTCTTGGAGCAGTCTTGGGAGCCTCTCGGGCGGTCTTGGAGCCTCAGAAAGCGGAAATAACGAGAAACCAAACAACATAGAAACAGCACATGAAAAATCAACGATTTCAGCCTCCCGGGGCTGTCTTGGGAGGCCTCTTGGAAGCCTTTGGGGATTCTTGGGGGCGTCTGGAAGCAATCATGGGCGTCTTGGACCGATCTTTCGGCGACTCTGGGCCCTCTTGGCGAGACACTGAAATCTTGGGACGAAGTCGAAGCCAATCTGGCGCCAATCTGGCGGCCCCAATCTGGCAAAAGTTGGCAATCTGGCGGAGAGCCAGCGAGGTTACAGATTGGCGAGCAAGGAAAAACCTCCAACCTGGCCACGCCAGAGTGGCCCCTGGAACCCAAGGCAATCTGTCAGTCTGGCCTTCGACTGTCCAGGAGAAGAGCGAGACACTGAAATCTTGGGACGCGAAGTCGAAGCCAATCTGGCGCCAATCTGGCGGCCCCATTCTGGCAAAAGTTGGCAATCTGGCGAGGGAGCCAGCGAGGTTACAGACTGGCGAGCAAGGAAAAACCTCCAACCTGGCCACGCCAGAGTGGCCCCTGGAACCCAAGGCAATCTGTCAGTCTGGCCTTCGACTGTCGAGGAGAAGGGCGAGACACTGGAAACGCAAAGTCGTCTCAAAATCGACCCCGGGACTCCGAACGCTCCAACGTTTCGGGCTGCGCCCAGCCGCTGCGACGAGGGGCGCTAGACCGGGAAGCTTCGGCGGCGTCCACAGCACCCATCCTCCTCCTCCTTCTCCTGTTCCTCCTCTTCCTCCTCCTCCCTCTCCTCCTCCTCCTCCTCCTCCTCCTCCTCTTCTTCCTCTTCCTCTTCCTCTTCTTCTTCTTCTTCTTCCTCCTCCTCCTCCTCCTCCTCCTCCTCCTCCTCGTCTTCCTCCTCATCCTCATCCTCGTCCTTTCCCGAGCCATACAATAACAACTTGCGTGGAACCCCTCTCGGGCCCATCTTGGGGCTCTCTTGGGCCGCCTTTGGAGCCTCTTGGGGCGTCCTGGGTCTCTCGTGGGGGCTTCTTGGAGCTCTCTTGGCGCCTCCTGGAGCCTCTTGGGGCCGAAAGCTCGGAATTCTACAATGGCTTTCTCCCTCTGGGACCCCTCTCGGGCACGCCTTGGGGCTCTCTTAGGTCATTTTGGAGTCCAATTTTGCCGTCCTGGGCGCCTCGTGAACCGTCTTGGAACTCTCTTGGGGGCCACCTAGGCCGTCTTGGGAGCCTCTTCGGACGTGTTGGACGCGGTGAAAACCCAACAGGCGACCATGCGAAAAGCATACGTTTTCCCATAGGAATGGGACCATTTTTGCTTCTTGGACCTCTCTTGGGGTGCCTCTCGGAACGTCTTGGGCTGATTTTGGAAGCCTTTTGGCGCCTCTGGGCGGCGTTTTGGCGCCTCCTGGGATGTGTTGGGCCGGAAGCTCGGAATTCGAGAGTGGCTTTCTCCTTCTGGGACCCCTCTCGAAGTCGTCTTGGGGTTCTCTTGGGCCGTCTTGGGGCCGTCCTGAGCCACTCGTGCGCAGCCTTGGAGCGCTCCCGGAGGCCTCCTAGGCCGTCTTGGAGGCCTCTTGGGCCGTCTTGGACGCGGTGAAAGCCCAAGATGCGAACATGCGAAAATATACGTTTTCCCATAGGAATGGCACGATTTTTGTTTCTTGGACCTCTCTTGGGGTGCCTCTCGGAACGTCTTGGGGTGCTTTTGGGAGCCTTTTGGCGCCTCTTGGCGGCATTTTGGCGCCTCCTGGAGCCTCTTGGGCCGGAAGCTCGGAATTCGAGGTTGGCTTTCTCCGTCTGGGACCCCTCTCGAACTCGTCTTGGGGCTCTCTTGGGCCGTCTTGGGGCCGTCCTGGGCCACTCGTGCGCAGCCTTGGAGCGCTCCCGGAGGCCTCGTAGACCGTCTTGGGCGCCTCTTGGGCCGTCTTGGACGCGGTGAAAGCCCAAGAGCGAACATGCGAAAATATACGTTTTCCCATTGGAATGGCACGATTTTTGCTTCTTGGGCCTCTCTTGGGCTGCCTCTCGGAGCGTCTTGGAGGCTTCTGGGACCTTCTTGGTGTCATGACAGGCGTCTTGGAAGGCATCTGGAGCCATCGGAGCGCGTTCCGAAGCCGCCTGCGAACGATCTTGGACGGCGTCTGGCGGTCCGACGAGCCTCCGGGCCCCCCGGGGCCCACATTTGCGGTCGGGGTCCCGGCCCCGGGCCCCCGGACCCGGTGCGCCGTTATATGTATATGTTGGGGTGACGCCGATGCCACGCTGGGGGGGCAAGGCGGCGCCTCGCTGAGCTTCACGGTGACGAAACCCTGCGGGGACACCACCACGGAGCCTCCCAGGCAGCGCGCGCCGCGGCTCGCTCCCACCCCGCCGCCGCCGCCGTCATCGTCGCCGTCGTAGCCACGGTTGGCTCAGACGCCGCTCCTGCGAGCAGATGTCGCGTGGAGTGTCGGGGCCGCCCAGGCCAGCCAGCAGAGGAGTCGGGAGGGGGGGGCGGCCAGGGCTGTCGGGGGGCCGCCCGGGGAGGGGAGCGCGTCCTCCTCCTTGTCTCCCCTTTCTGCACCCTCTCTGGTGCACAATTCGCTTCGATGTGGCCCAGCGCCAGCTTGAACGATTCGTGCGTTCGCCGAGTCCGCGAACCAACGACAGAACACTGTGTAATCCCTGCCCTCCTGCCACCGTTCCTCTTCCTTGTCCTCAAGTCCCCTGCCCTACCCCGCCTCCCGCTCCGTTCTCGCGGCCCGCAGCCGACAGATCGGCACCAGACATCGAACTCCTGGACCCATTCGCTCGAACATCCGGGCCAAGCGCGCAGTGCCTCCCGTCGGTTTTCTCCCCTCCGCCTCCCTGCTGCATCGGCTTCGACGCGAGACACGACTTGCACATACATCAGAGGTGGAGCAGAACACTGGCACCTGTGCGTCCCCAGTGTTAGGTCGGGCCTGTCCCCTACAGGCGGCTTTTGGGCGAAAATTTACAAATACAAATACTCCAAGATCAAAAATAGTTCCAAGATCGTCCCCAGACTATTTATTCTATTTTTGCATATTCCTCCTGTAGAGGGGCAGGCCCGACTGAACCCTAGTGCGTAGATACCACATCGGCACAGTTTTGGCACACGAGCTTTCGGATGTCCGCGCTGATTCCTCGACTCTTCGCTGAACCCCTCCTCCCTGGCGCGCGGAGCGCGCCTGCGGTGGCGCCGGGGCGCTGCCAAGGGGGGGCCCAAGCGCAGATCCGAGAACCCTGGGCGGAGCTTAGAAAGTTCATGGCTGTGCATGTTTTTACCTAACAGCGAAGACTGATAGGTTTCTAATGGGGTCGAAAGAAAGCATCTGACGACACCCCAAGGGGGTCAGGGCGGGAGCCGGACAGGCGAGGACCGGGCTCGTTTTAAGCAAACAGTCACACACTTCGTGCTCTTCGACCTCCCAGAACTCCATTCCCGGGCCACATTTTGGATGCCCGGAGCCAACTGTAGGTCACTTCGTGCTCTTCGACTTCCCAGAACTCCATTCCCGGGCCACATTTTGGATGCCCGGAGCCAACTGTAGGCCACTTCGTGCTCTTCGACTTCCCAGAACTCCATCCCGGGCCACATTTTGGATGCCCGGAGCCAACTGTAGGCCACTTCGTGCTCTTCGACTTCCCAGAACTCCATTCCCGGGCCACATTTTGGATGCCCGGAGCCAACTGTAGGCCACTTCGTGCTCTTCGAGTTCCCAGAACTCCATTCCTGGGCATGATTTTGAATGCCCGGAGCCAACTGTAGGCCACTTCGTGCTCTTCGAGTTCCCAGAAGTCCACTCCTGGGCATGATTTTGAATGCCCGGAGCCAACTGCAGGCCACTTCGTGTTCTTCGAGTTCCCAAAATTCATTCCCAGGCCAGAATGCTGAGGCAGGCTGAGGCTGAGGCTGAGGCAGGCTGAGGCTGAGGCAGGCTGAGGCTGAGGCCGAGGCTGAAGGCAGACTGAGGCTGAGGCTGAAGCAGGAGGCTGAGGCTGAGGCAGGCTGAGGCTGAGGCTGAGGCAGGCTGATGCTGAGGCAGGCTGAGGCTGAGGCTGAGGCTGATGCAGGCTGAGGCTGAGGCAGGCTGAGGCTGAGGCCGAGGCTGAAGGCAGACTGAGGCTGAGGCTGAAGCAGGCTGAGGCTGAGGCTGAGGCAGGCTGAGGCTGAGGCTGAGGCAGGCTGATGCTGAGGCAGGCTGAGGCTGAGGCTGAGGCTGATGCAGGCTGAGGCTGAGGCAGGCTGAGGCTGAGGCCGAGGCTGAAGGCAGACTGAGGCTGAGGCTGAAGCAGGCTGAGGCTGAGGCTGAGGCAGGCTGAGGCTGAGGCTGAGGCAGGCTGATGCTGAGGCAGGCTGAGGCTGAGGCTGAGGCTGATGCAGGCTGAGGCTGAGGCAGGCTGAGGCTGAGGCCGAGGCTGAAGGCAGACTGAGGCTGAGGCTGAAGCAGGCTGAGGCTGAGGCTGAGGCAGGCTGAGGCTGAGGCTGAGGCAGGCTGATGCTGAGGCAGGCTGAGGCTGAGGCTGATGCAGGCTGAGGCTGAGGCAGGCTGAGGCTGAGGCCGAGGCTGAAGGCAGACTGAGGCTGAGGCTGAAGCAGGCTGAGGCTGAGGCTGAGGCAGGCTGAGGCTGAGGCTGAGGCAGGCTGATGCTGAGGCAGGCTGAGGCTGAGGCTGAGGCTGAGGCTGATGCAGGCTGAGGCTGAGGCAGGCTGAGGCTGAGGCCGAGGCTGAAGGCAGACTGAGGCTGAGGCCGAAGCAGGCTGAGGCTGCGGCTGAGGCAGGCTGAGGCTGAGGCTGAGGCAGGCTGAGGCTGAGCTGAGGCAGGCTGAGGCTGAGGCTGAGGCTGATGCAGGGTGAGGCTGAGGCAGGCTGAGGCTGATGCTGAGGCTGAAGGCAGGCTGAGGCTGAGGCTGAGGCAGGCTGAGGCTGAGGCTGAGGCAGGCTGAGGCTGAGGCTGAGGCAGGCTGAAGCTGAGGCAGGCTGAGGCTGAGGCTGTGACTGCGACTGCCGTTGCCACTGCGACTGTCATCGCGAATGCGACTGCGACTGCGAGAACAGCAGAATTCTACAACTGGATTCTCATCTTAATCTTTAAGGGAAATGCTTCCAAATATGCTCCTACACATCGCTGTTAGGTTGCTTTGCCGGGATAATTCCTCCCTAAGCTCACGCATTCGGCCGCCTCAGAAATCAATCCCTGGAACCCTCGTGGACACCGTCCTGACCAGCTGTTCGAACTGCGTCCCGCCAAGGGCCTGCAGGACGGCCCAGGAACCCCCAAGCTCCCGGACGGCCGTCGCCGAGCCCAAGACTGCCCCGAGACGGCAACCTCGGAACGACTCCTCGACCCTCACAGACGGTCGCAGGACAACTGGAGACAGTCCCTCGCAGGACTGCAGCCCGCGGCTCCAGTGTCCGCGGAGGGCCCGAGAACCCGAGGAAGGTATTCGACGGAGCAGGAGGAGCAGCTTGACGCGGAGGTGGGGGCGAGGATGGGAGGTGGCGGAACAGGAAGGAGGCGAGGCGTGCGGTAGTCGACGAGGGAGCAGGAAGGAGGAGACGAGGCGAGCGCAACCAGTGTCATGGGGGCTCAGCTGCAGGCGCGCGAGGAGGAGGACAAAGAGGGGGGAAGGCGGGACAGGAGACAGGTCGGAGCAGCAAGACTGGGAGGGCGCCGGCCACGAGGGGGAGGGAAGGAGGGAGAGGAGGGAGCACAGGGACCCGGCAGAGTAGGACGAGGAGGAGGCCGAGGAGCGCGAGGGAGAGGCCCAGGAGACCCGAAGCGAAGGAGGAGAGGTGGTAAGGTTTTGGGTTGCGGGCAGACAGCCCCACTAGGTAGT